GCTTTGGATGATTATATCATTCTAGGAATTTACCCATCTCTTCTAGGTTGTTGAATTTGTTTGCACATAAGTGTTCATAGTAATCTCTGATTATTCTTTTGATTTCTACTGAACCTGTTGTGATTTCTCCTCTTTCATTTATAATCCTATTTATTTGTGTTTTCTCCCATTTTTTCTTTGTGAGCCTGGCTAGAGGTTTGTCTATTTTGCTTATTTTTTCAAAGAACCGAATTTTGGTTTCATTGATTTTTGATTTTTTTTAAATTTCTATTTCATTTATTTCTGCTTTGATTTTTATGATTTCCCTTCTTCCTCTGGCTTTAGTGTTTTTTTGTTATTCTTTTTCTAGCTCTTTGAGATGTGAGATTAGGTTGTTTCTTTGAATTCTTGTTTGTTGATGTGAGCCTGTATTGCTATATATTTTCCTCTTATTACTGCTTTTGCTGCATCCCATACATTCTGGAAAGTGGTGTCCTACTTGTGGTTCACCTCAAAGTATTTTTTAATTTCTTCTTTGATCTCCTCATTAGTCCAGTGGTCTTCCAGTAGTGTGGATTTCAATTTCCATGAAGTGGGAGGGTTCCTTGTTTTCTTTTCATAATTTATTTCTAGTTTGATGCTTTATGATTGGAGAAGATAGTTGGAATGATTTTGATCTTTCTGTATCTGTTGATGTTTGTCTTGTGGTTCAGTATGTGATTGATTCTGGAGAATGAGCCATGTGTGCTTGAGAAAAATGTGTACTTGGATTTTTTTGGGTGCAGTGTCCTATAGATGTCTGTTAAGTCCATGAGTTCTATGTCTTTATTTAGGGCTCTAGTGTCTTTGTTTATTTTTTGCCTCATTGATCTGCCCATTGGTGAGAGTGGAGTGTTGAAGTCTCCCACTATATATGTATTTTCTTTAATGTCCATTTTCAGAGCTGATAATATTTGTTAACATATTTTGGTTCTCCTACATTTGGTGAGTATAAGTTGATGAGTGTTATAGCTTCCTGATGTATTGGCCCCTTGATAATAATGTAGTTTCCATCTATGTCTCTTTTTACTTTTTTTAATTTGAAGTCTATTTCATCTGATATAAATATAGGTGTTCCTGCCTTCTTTTTTGTTTCATTTGCTTGTAGGATTGTTTTCCAACCTTTTACTTTCAGTCTGTGTTTATCTTTTGTGGTTAAATGTGTTTCCTGCAGACAGCAGAAGGATACATTTTGTTTTTTAATCCAGAGTGCTACTCTGTGTCTTTTTATTGATGAGTTTAATCCATTTACATTTAGAGTTAATATTGGTATGTTGGCATCTATATTTGCCTTTTTGTTTGTCTTTTTTGTGATTTTTATTCCTTGCTTTATTCTGTTCTTCTTGTTCATTCCTCTGTTGGTTTTAGCTTTAGAACTTCTTGTAGAATTTTTTGGAGTGGGGGTTTAGTTGTAATGAATTTCTGGAGTTTCTGTTTGTCTGAGAAGGTCCATATTTTTTCTTCATAGAGGAAGGAGAGCTTTGCAGGGTAAAGTATTCTTGGTTGGCATTTGCTGTTTTGAAGTTTGTTGAATATGTTACTCCATTCTTTTCTTGCCCGTAGTGTTTCTTCAGAGAAGTCTGAGGTTAACCTGATTGATTTTCCCTTATAAGTTATCTGTTTCTTCCCCCTTACCAGTTTCATTATTTTTTCTTTGTCTTAGACTCTTACAAGCTTTACTATTATGTGTCTTGTTGTAATTTTCTTTTCAGTGTGGTAATTGAGTGTTCTTCTCACTTCTTGTATGTTATATTTGTCTCCTTTTTCATACTTGGGAAGTTTTCTTCAATAATCTCGTTGAATAATTTCTCAGTTACTTTATCTCTCTCCTCACCTTCTGGATGCCTATAACTCTTATATTTCCTCTCTTCATGGAGTCTGATAATTGTCTAAGGGTATTCTCGTTTTTCTTCCTTTGCATTTCTCTCTCTTTTTCTCTTTCGGTTCTTTCTGTTTCTATATCTTCAAGAGTACAGATCCGTTCTCCCATTTCCTCGGTTCTGTTTTCAATGCTTGTCCAAGAGCTCTTTGTCTCCTCCAGTAATCTTTTAGCCTCCTTCTTTTCTTTTTTTTTCCTTTCTTAAGGTCTCATTTTTGTTCTTCAGTTTATTGATTATTTGTCTCATCTCATACTTTATTTTTTTAAGATAATTTTTTTTAAGATTTATTCATTTATACAAGCACTGGGTACAGTCAGAAGCGTGGGAGGGTGAGAGAATTCACCAGAGCCAGAGCGGGGAACAGAACAGGCAGAGTGATGAAGTACACTGCTGAGGGGAGTAGTGGGTGCAGCAGGAGAGGGCTGTGCGCCAAGTGGGACCCTTGCCGGCAGGCGGGGATTGAACCGGTGCTGCAGAGGCTACAGGCAGCTTTGCAGCCCAGTGATCAACCGCTGCGCCACCAGGGAGGCCCATCATTATACTTTTTAATCATGATGATTATTAATTCTCTATCTGACAGGCAGAGAAGTTCTTCCGTGTCATTATTGAGCTCTGGTGACTTATTGTCTTTTTGTGGTATGTCCTTTTCCTGTGGGCTTGCTTGATTATTTGTATTTTTCCTTCTTCCTGCTGTTTGCTTTGTAATTTGTTCTATGCATTGGGACATTGTGCCACTGGTGTTGGTGGCCATCTCAATGGATCTCTCCTTCATGGGTGTCAAAAACTATTTACCAGACTGAAACCCGCACTGGTAGACCAAAACTCCACCATGGTGTTGATGTTGTGGCTGTGTTGCTGGGCACTGTCTCTTACAGTTCCCTCCCTCCGTATTTACTTAGTTCCAACAGGGAATGAGTAAGTTGGTGATTTTGCTCTGGTCATTAAGTGGCGCTAGAGACCTGTACTTGCCGACCTGTGCTTTTCCCCTGTAGTTCTCTGAGAAATGGAGGAGGAAGGGGAGCACCTCGACATAGGGGCTATTGCTCATACTGGGTGCTGTCTGCCCTGTGTTCACCCGGTGCTATGCCCACGGCTGTGTGGATCCTGTGCCCTGAATTCTGCACTCTAGTTCTCAATCTCAGGGTCTCAGATCCAAAACACTGGCTGTCACCCTGTGCAGTACCCACTGTTATGGCACGTTCCATGTCCTGAATCCTGTGCCTAGCTCTCAGTTCCAGGATGGGGTCTTGCTCCATGCCTTGTTACCCTTCTTACCCCCGTTTGCTTGTCCCACCCCCTCTCAGAACCTGAGGGTGGTTTTGGAAACCCTGTCTTCCAACTATTAGGAAGCTGGTGATTTTGTTCCTATCACTAGGTGGCACCAGAGATCTTTCCTAATGTCCTTCCAGAGCTGTGCGTTTCCCCACTGTGCGTCTCTGGGGAACTGAGTGGGAGGTGGCGTGGAATAGCTCAACGGCGTGGGGGGGGGGGTCTGCCCTGTGTCGTGCATTGTGGGGAATCCCATGCCCCGAATTTCATACCCAGGGTCTCAGTTCCAAAGCCCTCAGATCCAGGACGTGGGCAGTAGCCCAGTTCAGTGTCTACAGAAATAGCACCTTTTGCACCCCGCTCCCATGCCAGAGTGCCTGGTTTCTGATTACTCAGTGGGAGTCATTCACCTCAGTGATGGTTCCCACATGTCTCTCCATGAGCCTAAGTCTCGGGCACAGGGACCTGGGCAGCCATGATCCTCATATGCTTTTCAAGCAAATGTGCTTTTCCGCACAAGCTTACCATCTGGCCTTGGGCTATTTGCAGGTCTCTCCGGAGTCCTCATCTTCCTCTAATGGCACCTTTTGCTCACCTCCATGGAGACTCCCGCACAGTTCTCCACAGTTCCCATTGGCAGGGTGCAATACCTGCAGTAGTTCCTTTCCACCCACAGTCCCACTTGATCTGTAGTTTGTTGTTGGTGGTGGTGGTTTTCTTTCTGTTGGTCTGAGTGTGCCGGCTTTGTGGGTGCGGGAGGGCAGCAGGTTCTGAGCTTTCCTCTCTTATCGTCCTGGGGCAGTTTGCCAGAGTCACCCGTTTATCTTCCGTGTCCCAGTTCTCACAGGGACCTGCCGCTTTTCCTCTCTATTAACTTTGTTTTCTGGGAGGACTTACTTGCAGCATTTCCCGCCTCCATGTTGATCTGAATCTCCTAAAAGAAGTATTTTTTGAGTCATACTATTGATTCTTCATTAGTTCACTCTTCCATTAATACAAGTGTTCATCTAAGAAATCTTAGTTGAGTGCTTTTTTAGGCCCCAACTCAAGGATTTAGGCTAGATGGGAGCACAGGTACAAAGACCTGAAAAACTAGTCAACAGAAATAGTCACAGTGTGATCACCCTGATCTGACATTAGAATTTACAACCTTTGACAAAGATCCAGGTAGTCATAGCAAAATCCAAAGGGAGAAGGAATATTTTGTTTGTTAGAGACCTTCCTGCTCTGGAACTAAAGTTACAAAAGTTAAGATTTTCCTCCATTCAAATCAAATAAATAAATAGTCTCATTCCCTCTTTTGTATGCACCCACCATTTAGAAGCCATAAGACTCCTAGTAGGTATGACACCATGCCTCCATCTCTCCTCAGTGCATTAGTCATTTGGTAAGATGTGTAATTTAAATTTATCCTCAACATGAAAAGTGGCTCTGAAAATTTTCCAAGTACCTGCTATAATGAGAGTGAGAGGAAAGAAAAAAGAAAGGCAGAGGGACTGGGGAGGTTGGAGAGTATGAAGGTTTAAAATCAAGCACAGTGAAGGCTCAAAATCATGCAGAGTTTGCAGCTGGTTGAGCAATTTATCTGGGGATTAATGACATAAGCATGCTGCCCTGCAGGAGGCTATCACAAGGGGGTTCTTAGGGAAGAGAGTCATCACCCAATTTCATTTTGGGCACCCAGCCACAGGAGCACTCCAAGGTCAAGCTCTGGCATTTAAGTGAGACCATTATCCAGGGGTTCCTCTCCACACCCTGATTCCTAAGGAGGGTTGAGAGACTTGCAAACAATGGCAAACAACCTCTGGGCTGTGTTGCACGCTCAGCCCCTTGCCCTCCTGACCTGCCTATCTTTGTTTCTACAGGGTGGTGCTCAGCATGGCGGGGATCCCCGGGCTCCAATTCCTGCTCCTTTTCCTCCTCCTCTGTACTATTGGGCAGATAAGTGCCCAGTGGAAACCGACTTGGCCTGCCTACCGCCTACCTGTGGTCTTGCCCCAGTCCACCCTCAGCTTAGCCAAGCCAGACTTTGGGGCAGAAGCCAAATTGGAAGTGTCTTCTTCATGTGGACCCCAGTGTCATAAGGGAACTCCACTGCCCACTTACGAAGAGGTCAAGCAGTATCTGTCTTATGAAACACTCTATGCCAACGGCAGCCGAACAGAGACACAGGTGGGCATTTACATCCTCAGTAGTGCCCAGGGTGAGCCTGCGGGAAAGTCTCGGAGGAAGCGGCAGATTTATGGTTATGACAGCAGGTTCAGCATTTTGGGGAAGGACTTCCTGCTTAACTACCCCTTCTCAACATCAGTGAAGTTGTCCACAGGCTGCACTGGTACCCTAGTGGCGGAGAAACATGTCCTCACAGCGGCCCACTGCATACATGATGGGAAAACCTATGTGAAGGGAACCCAGAAGCTTCGAGTGGGCTTCCTGAAGCCCAAGTTTAAAGATGGTGGTCAAGGGACGAACGCCTCAACCTCAGCCATGCCTGACAAAATGAAGTTTCAGTGGATCCGGGTGAAGCGCACCCATGTGCCCAAGGGATGGATCAAAGGCAATGCCAATGACATTGGCATGGATTATGACTATGCCCTCCTGGAACTTAAGAAGCCCCACAAGAGAAAGTTCATGAAAATTGGGGTGAGCCCTCCAGCTAAGCAGCTGCCAGGGGGCAGAATCCATTTCTCTGGTTATGACAATGACCGACCAGGCAATTTGGTGTACCGCTTCTGTGACGTCAAAGATGAGACCTATGACCTGCTCTACCAGCAGTGCGATGCCCAGCCTGGGGCCAGTGGGTCCGGGGTCTATGTGAGGATGTGGAAAAGACAGCAGCAGAAGTGGGAGCGAAAAATCATTGGCATCTTTTCAGGGCACCAGTGGGTGGACATGAATGGTTCACCACAGGATTTCAACGTGGCTGTTAGAATCACCCCTCTCAAATATGCGCAGATTTGCTATTGGATTAAAGGAAATTATGTGGATTGTAGGGAAGGGTGACACCAAGTTCCTTCCCAGCAGCACTTACTGGCCTTTATGTACTTATTGTAGGAGAGCTCAAATTTTGTCACTGGGTGTTTGTTTGTGTGTGTGTGTGTGTGTGTGTGTGTGTGTGTGTGTGTGTGTGTGTGTGTGTTATATGGCATAGTTATCTAATTTTTTTTAATTGCAAGATGACTGGCTTTATTATTTGAAAACTGGTTTGTGTAACATTTAAGCAGTTTAAAGGAGGAGTTTTGCATAGAAATAAAAAAACATGCTCATGTTTGGAACAATAGGGAATATTTAGTGATTAAGTTAATCTTTCACTTTTTGAGAATTTTGATTTTTATTTCATCTGAACTCATTTCAAAGATTTATAGTGAATGGGTGGCATACGGGAGATAGACTTTCTAGTGTGTGTGTGTATGTGTGTATTTTCTCCTGAGAGTCATCTTTTCTGGTTTTGTTTTTTTTTTTATTAATGCCCAGTCATTACTGTTTCTGGATGGCAGTGTTCCCCATGGCAAACAACTCTTTGGAACGTATACAATACTTCTTTGACAGGCAGTCATTATATTTTGATGGGGCGGGCGGTTTGCAAGGTCGTCCTTGAGCTATAATATAATTTGCTGACTATAATGCCATACATATTAAACCATATCTTCCAAAGACTGCTGCTCTACTTTTTGGGAAGACCTTGCATGTGCCTCTATGAACTTTGCAGTCTCACCAGAGTAAGCGAGATCATTTGTGTCAATCCTTCCATTTATCAGGATGTTACTCACATTTCTTGAACTACCTGCTTTTCAGAAGACAATAATCATACCTAATTAGAACAGGCTATAGTGCTTCTCAACTAACAGTACAATGGTAGTATTTTACCCTTGGAGTGCAGCACATCTCATATTTTATCATTTGGATGGAATAATTTAAAATGAATTAAATTCCAGAGAACAATGGATGTTTCGTTGGGCAGACGTTAAAACATTGTAAGTATATATTCCTAGGAAGACTAGTATAATATTTCCTTAAACACTCAACCTTCAACCAAAAGTTAAAAGGGCACCGTCATCAAGTAGGGAGGAGATGTCTCTCAGTGCTTCCTTTATCAGGGATTCACATGCTTGTTTGCACATTAAGAAGTCCTGTAGTAAAGACACATGTTAATGTTTTAAAATATGCATTTCAATAAACATCTTTGATGACACAACCCTTGTTTTCTCATATAATGTCTATGAGCAGTTTAGTGTTCAAATGAATACACTTTGGGAAACTCTGTGACCAGCCTTTAGTTCAAGGTGGTGATGAGGACCCCCCAGGGGTATACCAGGCATTGGTATTTTGGGGGTTTAACCAGAACCCTGTACCAGATTTGGAAATGTTCAAAGGGTAAGACTGGCAAGGATAATCCTGAAAGTCCTTTTTCACTGAGAATCAGAATATTGTGGTGGAATTTGGGACACATTTTTTACATAGATTTTATTTAGAATGAAACTAGTCCAAAAAATGGGAGGACAGCACTAAGGAGGTAAAGGATTATATCCTAATCAGTTTCAGAGCCGTATTCTATCTTTAACTTACTTTAGACCAGAAATGGATTTAAACAAAAAAAAAGAAAGCAATCTGGTAAGTGAGTTGGCACACAGGTCATGCTCTATTTTGCCGGCTCAGTGGGCCTGCTCCGTGGCAGGGCAAGCCTGCAGTGGCACCTAGGTCAACCTTTCAGGTGGAGTCTGCACTATAGCGCCTAAGGGAGTCTTTAGTGCAGAACTTGTTGAGAATGACGAAGTCTGGCCTGAAAAAACGGCCTTCTAAATCTTAAGTCCATGTGCATCTGCTAGCTGCAGGACAGGTGACAGCCACCCACAGTGTCTGGGCAGTTCTAACAGTAGCCCCAGGATCTCCGCTCTCAAACCGATGGGTCCCAGCCAGGGGGTCTGGTGGACCATCACTGCACTGGCCTGCCTCTCCATCCTGCTTTATGTCTGCCCTTTCTCTTAATCCTTGCTATGAGCGAGCTCAGGGATGCCCCCATTAATTGATTTCTAATGGACTTTTTGTAGAAGCCATTTAATTTGTCATCCAGAATGGAATACATTAATAATTGAAAAGGATTATACTGATAATGAAGCTGGAACAGCAGGCATCACCCACGTATGTCCTGGAAAAACCAGAATGTCTAGTCCCCTTGTTACAAGCTTCTTCTAAGCTCTGTATGGAATGTGGTCCAAGCCCATCCTTGTTAATTTCAGGACACTCAGCTCCCTGCATCTCCTCTGGATTTTCACTGTGGTTCCAATTGCATGCCTCCTTTTATGGGATAGGGAATTTAAACATTATTTTAATGGGTGACTCCCAGAGTACATTCTGTGGTAAATACAGACCCTCCTCAAATGCTGATCCAGAAGAAGGCACGTCGACACAGATGACCAACCCATGTGTTTTTAGTTTGGTATTTCCCCAAAGGAGGAAATAAACCAGCTTCCAAAATAAGAGTAAATAAGGCTGGGAGTGGGAGCGCGAGGCTGGTTTGGAAACATAATGGCCTTGGAGTTGACCAGACTGATTCCATGGTTGCCTGATTCAATGCCACTTAGCTTAAAGCTTAAAACCATCCTAGGTGATTCAAATATTCACTCTCAAGCTCCAACTCCTCCTTGTGCTGGGGGGGGAACAGATGAAGAAGGGAAAGAGCGACCAAACTTACTGACTCGCTGTGATTTCTCCTCAGTGGTTGCTGCTTGTCAGATAACACCCTCATTAACTCTTACCTCTGTTGATGTAACTCCATGTCTTGTGCTGTCGGAGCCCCCTTAGCTGTCAGACAGCCCTCTTTAGTAGTTAATCAGCAAGATACTTCAATCCCAGCCTGCCTCGTCCATTCCCACAAAATCCACAGGAAACTTACAGACTCACTACATCCGACTGAGAGTTGCCCACTGGAGACCTAGGGAAAAATGTTTCAGACTCGGGGAGCTGAAGTGCAAGGGCTACTGGCAGTATCTAATTTGTTCTGTTAAAGAAGTAGACAGACGGCCTGTTAAGTCTCAGCACTATCACTGCTGTAGCCTGAGTTTGATCCTCTCCTGTCTTGCCCGTTCCTCACCTTGGGAGTGTATTTCAGTAGATCCACCTGTCCTGCTTCCCATCCTATCTCTGGTGAATCCTCTCACCGCCCCCCCACACCTCTGACCTATACCCCAGTTCTTGAATGCATAAATAAATAGATAAATAAATAAATAGAACCTTTAAAAAAAAAAAGATGAAATAGCTCAGTGTAGCCTGAGCAAAATACACAAGGAAAATAGTATCAAAGAGAGGCTTTCGGAGAGCTAAGTGTCTGACCAACTCATACAGGGACTACAGATTCTGAAGGGGCTTTGGAATTCATTCTTCTTGCAGGGAAAGACATTTCAAGAACTTCTAGTAGGGGAGATTTAATGGACTTTGATCAAAGCCAAGTATGAGGTCTAATAGGCAGGCGCATGCCTAAGGCATATAGTAATTTTAGGAATTCACAAATTGCTATAAATTCAAAATCCAAAGAAAGAAATGAACTTTTAAGTCAAAGGAATGTTTTAAGATATGTTAATATAGTCATCTTTACACCAGTGCAGTCATAAAATAGAACTTTTACTTTTTTAAGTCTCTCGAGGTGTGAGTATAAGGCACAAGGGGACATTCACTGCCTGGTCTTGCCTTGGCCTACCTTTCGAACCTGCTAAGATTTCTGCTCTCAACTGAGAGTCCTGAGCTAACCTCACTAACCTATCTGCTCCTTGCTCTGATGAGCAAAAGACTAACACAAACTTTCCCCAAAATGAATGTGCATAAGGGCCTCAAGGACTCTCCTGAGGAAAATGACACTGTGCAGTCTGCTGTGGAGCAGAGAAACTGCTGTCCTTCTTGGAGCACTGCCTTCATCTTCTTGACCTGAGCCAACTGGCAGGCCTTGTCCAGCCCGAGCAGCGGTAAGCGTGGTGCTCGTGGGAGAGATGGATCTCCACATCGGAGTCTTCACCTCTGCCAGCCAGTAGATGACTGTTTCAGGTTTCTCTCCAGCCACGTAATTGAGCTCCCATCTGAACCCCTCAGAGATAGCCAGCTGGTTGCTTTCATGCCTGCGTCTTCCTTCCTCACCAGCAAGGCTGTTTCCAAGTCATTTCCTCCTGGTTCCATGTGGCCTGTGGGGGGACTCCAGTGACTCCAGTCCTCTAATGCCTGCAGCAGTAGTGACACAATTGCGCTGTTGTCCACCTTGGGAACGAGGCGTCTTGGAAGACACTCAAGCCACATGCTCTCAGGGCCTAGGTCTAACTGAGAACCCAGCAGAGGGAAGCAGGAAGCAAGAGGTGGCAATTCTTACCACTTTTTTTTTTTTAAGATTTTATCTATTTATGCATACAAGAACTGAGGTACAGGCCAGAGATGCGGGGGTGAGAGGATTCACCAGAGACAGAGTGGGGAACAGAACAGGCAGACTGACTAAAATACACTGCTGAGGGGAACAGCGGGCGAGACAGGAGAGGTCTGCTGCGCCATGTGGGTCACCTCCCTGGCCGGGGATCAAACTCGTGCTGCGGTGGCTGTGGACAGCTTCATTGATTGCATCTTAACCCCTTGTACCACTAGGGAGGCCCAATTCTCACTACTTGTTAATGGAAGAGGGGCATCTCTGAAAGCAAAGCACACAAAAGTCTGAATGCAGTCCTGGTACTGATCATATTTTACCCTTCTTTGGATGCTACATGGGAAAACAGTAATCAGGCAAGAAACAAAGGTGATATTGAGTAGTGGCCATATTAGAAGTAACGTGTATGTGTGGGAACAGAGCCTACCTGAGCAGATGTGGTGAAAAGGAGGAATCAAGAATGACTCTTAGGTTTGGGGTCATTCAAGTAGATTCCAGGTGCTATTTGCTGAGGTGCCAAGGACAGGGGAAAGCTGATTAACTTTAGGATGGAAGGGAATTGAAATCAAGAGTTTTTGTGTTGGTCACAATAGATTTGAAATGTCCCAGAGACACCCAAAGGAGGAGGTCAAGGAAGCACTCCCAACTGTTAAGGAAGGATCGCTGCTGGCGAAACTCAGTGGACGGATCTCAAATCTATCATATATATAGATATAGATATATAGATATACATATAAATACCAGAGGATGGTATTTACGCTACAGAGTAAGATAATATCACCTGAAGAAAGAATGAGAGTTGAGAAGAGGGCAGAGTCCTCACCTCCAGCAAAGAGAGGATGACTCTGTAGAGGAAGAGGCGTTGGCAGTGGAGAGGTTAGAAGAAGTTGCCAATGCATTCGGAGGAAAACCGGGAAAATATGGCTTGATAGATAGAAGCCAAGAGAAAAGAAATCTCCCTCTGGCTACAGCGGGCCAGGCAGGAGGAGGACAGGGACCAGGAGGAGTCTTCTAGTCTTCCAAGCAGAGCCTGGCCTTGGGCATAACTGCGTGAACACAGGCCACGCTCCATCAATGCCTGTGCATGAATGATTGATTGACCGAGGCTTGGGGCACCTCTGCCCACAGGAAGTGCAACCATCTACATCCACACCCTCCCTGGGAGACCCCAGGCCTGTGCCCCGTGAAAACACAGGCTCGGGGAGGCCCGCTGCCTTCCCTCCCACCAGCCTGTTGTTTTCTGAAGGCAGAAAGAGCAAAGTGACTCTCATGCATGTATGAGGTGTGTAAAAATACTATGTGCTCGCTGAGTCTTGATTAACGCTGCTCCTACACTCAGACTGTAAAGGGGCCAACACACTGTCTTTCCGAAAGAGAGGACCATTTTGAGGAGCATCAAGTTCCAATCCAGTGGAGCAAGACTGAAGTGTTTGCGTTAGGGAAAATGGGGAGAGTCTCAGAAAATGAAATAAACAGAGCAAGTGGCTGGAACTGGAGGGGCAGCCGTGGGAACTGTAGTTCAGCCTCACCTTCAACTGAACTGCTGTCTGAGGAAGGATTTCCCGGCCATAGACGCCACAAGGCCCACCCTCCCCGATTTCCTTCCTGCTTTATTGCCTTTGCTTGGCACTTATCACTGTCCCACATGCTCTATGTTATATTTGTTTCTCTTCTTTGTCCTTCTCTGCTACTAGATTACAATTTTGTGAAGGCAGGGATTTCTGTCTTTCCTACCCTCACTTTTAGAACAGGGCCAGCACATAGATTTGCAATACTTAATGCTTTTTATGAATGATTGAATGATTGATCCCAGTAGCTTATAT